TGCTTCGTGCCCATCAGCAGAATCCACGGAACATTCGCATAGAAACTCATCTGTCAAAAGAGGTCAAACAATTCCACCCTGTATAGCAACAGATAATTATAACTATCGGTAAACGATAACCGATACCCGTTGTATATGTGGTGGCTCTTGGGTTCAAGTCGCATAATAGATAACGCTTTGTCAATGGATGCGACGGGTGCTGGGTTCGAATTTCAACAGGAACAACATCACTCACTGAGGCGCAGGTACATCTAACTGACAAGTACTAAATAGGATAAATCGCATGTCCTGGATTCCGCTACCAGCCACCAAGCAGACTGCAGTTCGATAACCGGCCTGTATGAATCATTAACTAGATAAAAATGAGAACAAAGAGAACTGATGCCCATTTCAGCAGACTATAACAGTCCCAGTCCTCTAAAAACTTACATGAAGCACGATCAAATACAATAAATTATGAATTACTGAATCAACCATTTAGACTAGGAATCGGGTAACATACTTAACAGACAACAGACCATTACTGTTAGATAAAATAGTGAAGAATAGTAGTTCATTAACGACTGAAAGGAATACTTATCGAAACCAATTCCAAAATAAGAAGAAAAAGAAGAAGAAACAGATATTTCAGGCTAACATCTTCACTGGATCACACATAATCTCATCTCCACTATAAAATAATTAACCCAGCCATATATTTTCTTTCACTCTATATCTTTTCAAAGATGAATATCACAAGAATTAGTTCAATGCACTTCAAAGCACACAGTTCAACATAATTAATATTTTATGAACATTTTGTCGGAGTATTTGTAGTAGTAGAGGTAGGAAGTCTTGGAAGTCGATCTTTATTTGTCTAAATACTGACAATAATTTATCGTTTATATTTCTAATCCTTCACCAATCGGTTATAAATCAGAAAAACGGTTTTCAAATATCCAACGGTAAATAAGTCACCAGATAAATGTCCACTGATATCTTTATTCCACTCACAATACATTAAACTAAAATATTCTAACTCTTATTGCATAAGGGAATAATTTATCACAAGTTAATATAGGAGTAAAACTTGAGCACTGTGGTCGGTTGTAATTACATTTTAATCTGTTTATTAAGAATGTCACACAGTGAAGGAACAGTATCACCTACTGGATAACATTTCGGACACAATTTACTGTCCATATTCATATCAGGTAACTCCACAACTTTCAGACAGAGTTCATATATTCCTAATTTTCTCTCCTTCTTTGTGACAACAAGACTAGTAGAATTTTCCATATATCTGGGACAGGTGCAGAATCATTTCGATTGCATTCAAGAATTCTCAATAAGGCTCAATAAAGTGGCATGTAAACCAACAGACTCGCTTAGAAACAAGCTTTGTAGGTTAAAAGATTCTGTGGAATGAAATTAGGCAAAATAGTCTGGTTTACCCAATCCCTTGCAATGATTGCATGGTCACATACATAGGTGGAAGTAGTAGACCAGGGTCAAGTAGAATGACAGAACACAAAAACTGAGCTAAATCACTCCTAGTAAGATAAGAAGTTTAGAAAAATGCTCGGCTATAGCTATGCACGTAGATGCATGTAATCACATAAAAGAGTTGTATAGAGCGACCGGAACAGGCTGGATTCAGGAAGTACAAATCATGTGCGGATCAAATTGTAGCGCTTCGCATCATCATGGAACAGAATATAGAATGGCAGTAAACCCTTTACCTCAACTTCATCGACTTCGAAAACGCTTTTGACAGTGTCGACCAACAAGTAATTTGGAAACTGCTTCAACACTACGGAATACCACAAACCTTTATCAATCTCATTCAACAACTATGTGAAGACACCATATGCCAGCCAAGTAATTCACAATGGGAAGCTCAGTGATGCTTTTGAAGTGAAGTAAAGACAGGAGTGAAACAAGGCTGTCTACTATCACACTTGATATTCCTGATTGTGGTGGACTGGATCATGCAACAAACAGTGGGGAGCTGTGAGAAGAGGAGGATACGTTGGCTGGACTGTGGAAAAGAACCTAGAAGATTTGGATTTCGCCAGTGATGACTTGTGTCTGATGTCACACAAACTTGAAGATCTGCAGGCGAAAGATAACAAGTTGACAGAAGAGGCACGGCAACGAAAACAGGACTTCAAGTGAACGTAGATAAGACAGAGGTGATGAAGATACCAAACCAACCAACCAACCAACCAACCACCAACAACAAAAACAAGCTCCAATCACCATCAATGGGAGAAACTTGAACGAACTAGCCTCTTTCACCTATCTAGGCAAGGCAGCACTATTTCAACTACAGGCAGCACAGGCACAGATGAGGATGTCAAAGCCAGGACCAGAAAGATAGCAAGACAGGCGTTCATCAACCTGAAACCAGTGTGGAGATCTACTGCACTGCACTGCACTCCACTCAGCATAAAGCGTGAACAACATCCGGATTTTCAACACCAATTCAGTCAAGTGAGTCAGTGCTTCTCTGTGATGGTTGAGAGACGTGGCAGCGCGTTACGAAAGGGATTTCCAACAAACTACAGACATTCATCAACAGCTGGCACCTACGCTGTCTGGTTACTGAAGATCAGATTGATTGCCGTAGTGGTGAGAATAAGTAACAAGGAACTCACTGTGGTTTGCCTGGTAACGAACCAACCGAGAACCTATCGGTGAACAAATATGTAGGAGGAAGTGGAGATGGGTTGTATTGGGTATACACTGAGAAGGGTGACTGGGGACATGAGGCGTCAGGTCAGGGTGTTGAGTGGAACCGAGATGGGAAACGGCGAGTTTGGCGTGCGAGGCGAGGGTGACATGGAGGAGATGGTGTGAGGAAGAAATGAGAGCTTGTGGGCTGTCATGGTGCCATGTTCAAAAGATTTCAGAGGAGAGAGTGGAATGGAGACGTGCTAGTTAAGCCCTATATTCCATTAGGAACCCAGGGGACAAATAATAATGTTATAATAAAGGTTCATCCACTGGATTAAGTGTCACTGATAACATATGACCATCAAGATTTGTTAAATGCCTGGAATTATGGATCTTTTTAACTAAGTGGTTTAAAGTAGAGCACTTCAGATATTAAACACGAAACTTACGTAGTATTTGAATTTAACTCCATGTTTTGACAATGTCTCTTAAAACTATGCTGCATATCACAGGATCACAGATAAAAACCGTATGAATAGATAAATCACTTTGTTAGTTAAGAGAATATAAAGTGATATACAGAAGGATTGGATAAATTGTTGGCGAAAGACATTACATGCGGACAGGAATCTATTGTTGATATTTTCACTGTTTGACGACTGAGACACCTTTGAGTAAACAGTTAAGCTTTTAAATAGTTTGTAAACTGTTTATTTAATCGTTTGTATGCTGGTCCATTTATGTTACCTGGTCAGACGTATGTGATGTATACAATTTAAACATATGAGCTGAATTCATCTGATTACAACTGGTCACATATTTGAAACATACAGATGAACATGAAAGATGTTGAGTATTTTCCTGTAGTACATTCCATCATCTCAACTAATCCAAAGATCTGGAGAATGTCAGGTGTATTCTTTAGAGGTATAATACAAAAATGTTACTAACTTTTCACTTATTCCAACTTTAGATATCAGAAGATGCATTACAAGTGATGATAGTTTACCAACCAAATGAATGAATAAGAATGTCTTGTCGACCTACTGATGCACACCATAGCTCCACATTAGATAATTGATAGCCTGGAAAATTACATGATACTCGAAACTATCAATGATTTATAGACGATCTGACAATTCATATAATATTATTATATTATTATTTGTCCCCTGGGTTCCTAATGGAATATAGGGCTTAACTAGCACATCTCCATTCCATTCTCTCCTCTGAAATCTTTTGAACATGGCACCATGACAGCCCACAAGCTCTCATTTCTTCCTCACACCATCTCCTCCATGTCACCCTCGCCTCGCACGCCAAACTCGCCGTTTCCCATCTCGGTTCCACTCAACACCCTGACCTGACGCCTCATGTCCCCAGTCACCCTTCTCAGTGTATACCCAATACAACCCATCTCCACTTCCTCCTACATATTTGTTCACCGATAGGTTCTCGGTTGGTTCGTTACCAGGCAAACCACAGTGAGTTCCTTGTTACTTATTCTCACCACTACGGCAATCAATCTGATCTTCAGTAACCAGACAGCGTAGGTGCCAGCTGTTGATGAATGTCTGTAGTTTGTTGGAAATCCCTTTCGTAACGCGCTGCCACGTCTCTCAACCATCACAGAGAAGCACTGACTCACTTGACTGAATTGGTGTTGAAAATCCGGATGTTGTTCACGCTTTATGCTGAGTGGAGTGCAGTGCAGTGCAGTAGATCTCCACACTGGTTTCAGGTTGATGAACGCCTGTCTTGCTTTCTTTCTGGTCCTGGCTTTGACATCCTCATCTGTGCCTGTGCTGCCTGTAGTTGAAATAGTGCTGCCTTGCCTAGATAGGTGAAAGAGGCTAGTTCGTTCAAGTTTCTCCCATTGATGGTGATTGGAGCTTGTTTTTGTTGTTGGTGGTTGGTTGGTTGGTTGGTTGGTTTGGTATCTTCATCACCTCTGTCTTCTCTACATTCAGTCATATTTCAAATTTTATATATAAATGGATCAAACTTGACTATGACACTGATGTTACTTAACTAGCATTCAGTCTATTATTTAAAGCATATAGAAATAAAACCCTGGTATCACTGAAATTTACAATATATTTAAAAGAGGAAAACATTTATCAAAATTTATCTAAAACAACCAAAGTTATCTTAAAATCGATCAATCAACTGTAATAAAAATGCAATTACATGAATATGATGGGGAACGAGTTAAAAGAGTATTCAACACATGACGTGAAAAATTTCCTCAAAGAAACGATATGAAATCGTTCAAGAAACAACCATTAACTGTAGATAGAAGACATAAACTGAATGTCATACGAAAACAAAAAAGTAATAGGTTAATGATTAGAGTTTGGGTAATCTATTTTCTCACTTTGTGAAACAGTATTCAACACATCAATTGGAATCCAGTAGGTTGATTTATCTTCTTCTTTTATGTAAGGAGATCGAATTACAATATTCTTAGACTTGGTTTCATCTGTTTTCACTTTCTCCATAGCTTCATTCTCATCCATTTTTGTACACTTTTCAATGCGTCTCCTTCTTGAGAGCTTATAAATATCACTCAACAAATCTACATGATAGTTTTTTGCTTCTTCATTGTTTAAAAACCACTTTGGTGGTAGTGATGGAAATTTTTTCAAAAAATTAACTGCCTAAATTCAATTAGTAAATAAATAAATAATTGATTCATACCTGCCTAATTTCATCTGCATCATACTTTTCTCTCAAAATACTATAAAAAGGATCATTGTCCATCTTATCCTGTATGATAACACTGTGAAGAACCTCTGTATTCTATATACAAGTATTTGCCAATATACATAAGAATACACACAATACTATCAATTAAGGAACTTTATAAACAATAAATGGTGACAAAGAAATATATCAACAAACTGATTTAGTGCTTCCTATCAAAGTTTAGACTAGGAACCAACTATCGTTTCTAAATCTTGGTAAATAATGCTCATAATGTTGGTTATAATAACTAATCAAACCAGCCTTTAATCCTGCACAATAAAAAAGCACTGACTGGTTAACCAATCTCTGATGAATATTATTTTAAAGTTGTTTGCCTGATAACCAGAAAGTAAATAGCAACAGTATATCACGTTTGAAATTTTCTTCAAAATTCAAGACAACAGTTTCAATAAAGATTTACCCCTAGAAGCTTAAAGTCAACACTCTTGTTGAGAATAATAAGTAAACAATCAAGTCCTACAAAAAAACAGAATCAACAATGCAAAGTAGTTGTCTGATGAACTAAAACAGTAGAAATATCGAGGAAGGCGAGGGGTTTGACAAGGTGAAAATTGTTGGTAGATAAGAAACGCAAATATTGAGTGTCAGCACAAAGCGCACACTTTTCAAACGTATCTTGAAGCACTATCCTGCATGGTTGTCAACGACAGAATGTAAATCAATTAACAGTTCAATTCTTCAACATTTGGTCAACTCTGAACATAAAGCTAGACCAGAATCTTCCTTCAATATCATTTGTCGTATCAGATGGAATAGTTCAAAAGGAGTACGACTTCGACAGTTGTGCACAGCCGAGGCACTGACAATTCATCAATTCAAGCCTGATCTCTGTGTGCAAAATAAGTATGTTCAATCTCTCATCTTACTATGGTCTTAACACTTTCATTTTTTTCGATTTCATTATAATTAATTAGCTTATTATTATCACCTTTATTACGACCCTTGTCTCATTCTTAACCTTCTTTACACCTATCTATCAAGTGGACAACTCAATATTTGCGTTTCTGATCTACCAACAATTTTCATCTTGTCAAACTCCTTGCCTTCCTCGATATTTCTACTGTCTTAGTTTATTAGGCAACTACTTTGCATTGTTGATTCCGGTTTTTTTTAGCACTAGGTTAATGATGTAGCTATTATACCCTATTGTTTTATAATGGACTGTTATAAGTAAATAAGCAAGAGCTGTTGATTGCTGATGATGAAATTAAAAATAAAATGTCAACAAGAAATGAGAGTTAAAGAAATACAGAAGAATAAGTAGATTAAAATAATGTTCAGATTTACAGAAGCAAAATCTAAAATTCTCAAAAGAAGGGGAAGAGGAAATAATGCAAATAAGGTGGTTGGCAATAGGGATTTGACAAGTATTTAAGGTATATGAGATACCTAATGATAAAATTACCTAACTGTAAAATACTATTGGATAAGTCGAATCTTGGTCAGCATTTTTACAAACAAGATAAAGCTGCAAACCAATGTAAGGCTAATCAAGCTGTTTGTAATGCATTCGAAATCTTACTCACTCACCTTCCACTTTTGATTTCTAGACTGCCTTACCTCTTCATTGTCAAGCTCTACTATTTGTCAGTTATCTTTCACTGTTAAATGTAAGTACATCATGTGTACTTGTTGAGTCACTAAAAGTTAAGCTATTTTGTAAAATGTTGTTGAATTATATAAACGGTTAGTCGCCGAAGAGCTGGAATTGTTTTTAAGTGTTACAGTTTGCTATAGAATAACGCCAAGATCTGCTATCTTTAATGTATGCTTTTAAAAGGAAATTCTGATAAAACTATATTTTAGTGGTTTTCAAACCAATCATCTGCATGAAATAAGCAAGTATACTACTCGGTTTACATCACTTTTGTATGTTATCTAATCCGTTTATGAATTATTCCTTTTCCTGAAATATATCTTTCTCACCGACCATCAACGATCAAGTCTAGCCCATATGGCAAGTGATCCGTTAACAATTGGTGTGCCACAAAGCAGAAGGAACTTTCTGACGTTTATTGCTGAGCACAGGGTCAATCTGTCCGGTGGCAGTTTCCTGAAGGTGAACAGCCCCTTTTTTAGAGCCAACACAGCTACACCTCTAGGTTGCCCAACTCTAGTGTGCATCACACAACATCCCATTTCAGCTTATCAAAAATTTCTTCTCTTCTGAGAAAGCCGTCACTGCAACCAGGAAGTTAGGCAGGATGACAGAATTTGATCGATAATCTAAGGTTGCATTGTCGTGCGTCATGGACATACTTTCTAAATAAGTCGCGTCCTCCTATTGATTTTCATTTACTTTTCATGATGTACAGCAGCAATTGCCTCTGGAGTGGGTTCAGAGTTTCAGGCGGAGGTGGTTGACTTTGCGGTCGACCCAGCTGTAAATTTCCAGTAGACAAAGGTATGCAGTGCGATGCATGTGGATGTTGATTCCATAAAGTTTGTACTGGATTAACACCAACCGTGTACAATTGTTGCAGCAAACCAGCTTCTCCCTGGTTATGTGATTTCTGCTGTAAGCCCTTGTCAGCCCTAATCCAGGAAGCTGGCGAAATGTTACTGGTTAGAAAACATTCATATGGTAATGAATGTGGCATCAGATGATGACACTACAAGTGTTATTGTTAATACATCTGACACAAGATCTCAAAATGGACTTTTGGATACTAGTGATCTAGTGAGATTGCACGAGTTACAATGCGTACTCGATGCAAGAGAAAACCGAGGACAACAGATACACTAACTATGATCCCTAAGGATTCACTGAAAGACGGCATCTCCGTTAGCAACGTTGACTGTATAAAAGTGATCAATGAGTCTGAATAAATTTCTCCAAGGAAAAAATTGAAAAAACCTCCAAAAGTCATCACTGAAGCTACTAAGCTTATGAGACCTATCGAGGTTTCGGAAGCCGTCAACAGGTGACTCAAGGATTCCATACTAATGCCCATTGTGATCTTCTGGAATGTTGAGGAGTCACTGGACAAAGACCCTTCAGTACGTTATGGCCATGACATGAAACTATTCGACTCCGCCATCAGAAATTCTATCTGAAACGTCTAAAGAAGTACACATCTCCAAAGTAGTCAGGCTAGGTAAGAAAAAGGATGAAAAACCTGATGAGAAGAAGATTTTGAAGGTTGTTTTAGACAACAAAGAAGAAGTAACGCATCCAAACTACGAAGTCTGGACATCCACGTCCGACCTGACTAGCCTCTAGAGGACCAAATCAAAAGAGGAAAAGTTGTCATCTAACTTAAGGCTTGACGAACTAATGGGAAGAACAATCTTAAAGTTGTGGGTTTTCAGGTTGTGAGGTCACGGAAGCTAATGCTTCCAAGGCCTGTATGGGTGGGTCATGGAACTCTTTCAACACAGTGAACGTAATCTACACCAATGCCCACAGTATTAGGAGTAAAATCACAAAATCGAGACTCTAATCTGTGAACTAGGTCCTGATGTAGTAGCCCTTACTGAAACCTGGCTAATAAAGGATTTAGATTTTACACCACTTCTTACAGGGTATTACTGTGTAATCACGGATAAGGTTGTGAGTAGCAAAGGTGGCGGGATACTGCTTTATGTCCGGAATGATGTCCACAGACGATCAGTCACTTCCGAAGCATATGAATGCTGGACATGCGAAGTGGTCAGTTGCAAGCTGAAGTCAAAGCGAAGTTTCTGTACTATTGAGGTCACCTACCATAGTCCATCCTGCCTTGCAAATGACTTCGTGCTAACCCATATATGTAAGTGGATTATAAATAACAGATACCCGATAGCTGGGGATCCGAATGCTCCACACATGAACTGGACGAAGCTAACAGCCTCAGTATCAGGCAGTTCCTTCGAAAATGACTTACTTCTAACTGTATTAGAATCTGCTTTAGTTCAAAACGTAACTTGTACACAGTCTCCAATGTCCTACGAAAAACAGCTTGTGAGGGATTGCCAGAAGTTTCCTAAAAGACTTTTCGCGTTCATCACAAGAAGGACTAAGAGAAAATGTGGAATTCCCTCTCTGGTGACAGATGGAAAGTTCGGTAGTCTGGCGGCATCTAATCTGTTCAAAGCTGAACGTCTCTCAGATTACTTTAGTGAAGTCTTCTCAGTAGATCATGGTGATGAAGTGCTCAATGGTTGTATCAGCTCTGCCCCACTGATGGATACAATGTTCATATCAAAGGAAACAGTCTTGCAGTTGCTCATTAGTCTTAAACCTGGAAAATCCCCGGGTCCCGATAATTTACACCCCAGACTGATGTCTTTGCTAGCGGATATTATTGCTGAGCCAATCACTGATCTTTTCAATATGTCCCTATCTAAAACTCGCCTCCCTAAAGACTGGAAAGATTCCATGATCAGTCCGGTCTTTAAGGCCGGTAGTCACCAGCTGGTGGCTAACTATCACTCTGTGAGTTTAACTAGCATAGTTATCAAGATTTTAGAAAAAATAATTCGTGGCAAAGTACTTAAACATGTTGAATCAGCCAATCTTTTAGCGCCACAGTAACACGGTTTTCCTAATGTGCACTCCTGTTTAACAAACCTCTTCGTAGTGAGAGAGGAATGGGTTGCAACTCGTCACTGCAAGCTGCCAATAGATGCCGTGTTTATAGAATTCAGTAAGCCATTCGACAAAGTATCGCGTGTGGAATTACTAGGAAAGCTCTCCTATTCCGGGTTTGATGCTTCATTGCAAGCCTGGATTAGGGAACTTTTGTACGATAGAAGGCAAAGAGTAAAGGTAAGTGGGATACTGTCCGGATGGAAACCTGTGATAAGTGGAGTTCCTCAAGGAACAATCCTAGGTCCACTGCTTTTCGCGTTATATATATCAAAGAATGCTCAACTCTTCGGTGCTGCTATTCACTGATGATGTAAAAATTTAGAAAGCCATAGGTAGTGATGCCGACAGGTATGCTCTTCAAGCGTATTTTCATGAACTGGTAGGTTGATCCAAAGTTGGTGCCTGGAAACCAACTATAATA